CCTTTTTTCATCAGATTTAAAAAGGCTTTGGATGTATAAGAAAGCAACTTTATGTCACAAACTGGGTGCGAATTTAAAAACTGGGAAGTCTCATGAATTAGGACAACATGTTTAATTCTTTTCACTAAAAATTAGTCTTACTTTACCAAGCTTGAAAATCGACTCAAATAAGTGTTATTTCTAAAATAAAGGACATTATTTCTAGTCAACGATATTAAGAGATTTTTCTAAAAATTTTCAGCAGTTCACTTTTTTCCGCCATAAGAAAATAATAATTAAAAACTAACTTTTCGAGACAAAGTGAATAATTCCTATATACGAATATATATCAGATCACCAAAACGATAACTAAAGTAACTATTTGTAACCTAAAAAATAAGGCAGTTTATCGTAAAAATTTTGATGTAATTTTTTTTGACACAACTTAAACTCTTTATATAGAAGATTATACTCACGTTTCACAGTTGGTGTTCATGGAGACAGGGAAGCCAACTTTAATCTTGCAAGCAGTGGGGAGTTGGCTAAGGAATCTATCTTGAACACCAACAAAGTTCTTGACACCAGCCTTGAGGCATCTGCAAATAGCCTTCTTATCATCCACAGACTTCACATTTTGTGCCAACTGTTGCAGCCCATTGCAACACGGCGCCGACGGCTTTGCATCCTTCCCTGTGGCAAAGGAGATGCAGGCTGCGGCCTTCATGTCTACAGTGCCACAGGGAATGACTGCTTCATTAATATGAGCAAGAACAAAGAGGACAGAAAGGCAGAGAGCAACTGAGTACAAAAGGTTCTTCATGGTTTGTTTGGAAAATGTGTTTGGAAAAATGGAGTGGTGATTGTAATGTACTAAGAGAAGTTTGGATTTATAGCTGTTTGGTTTGCTCTTGGAAGTCAGTGGGCGAAGATTATATATACAGAAGAGAGAATCGAGCATTTGGTTCTTGGGAGTTGGGAATGAGCTTCCCAAAAAGGTTTGCTGATTGAGCTTTGCAGGAGTTATTTTCTTGGATCGTGAACTTTTGTACTTTAAGGGGAATTCATGTTATCAGTCTTTTCTTGGATTGCCCACCATACAGTACTCCCCCAAATTCAATTTATTGTACCACCCAAAATCCAATCAGTCGTGATGACACATAATCCAAACCGTTAGGTAAGCCAGATAACAGTCAATACAACTATAATGAAGTAAGAAGGGATCAATAAATGAAATAACTGAAACTATATACAAAATCTCAATGACTGGTAATACATCATCTGTTCGGAATATACATAAACAGATTTGCAAACCTAAAGCTACCAAGGACAAGTGGAAGTTATAACCGGAACGCATGTACATCTTCAATGCCAGCTCCCACCGTACACAACAACATCAACTCCAAGATCTGCACGCAAGGTGCAGAAGTGTAGTATGAGTACAACTGACCCCATATACTCAATAAGTATTGATCACGCCCAACTCTAGTTCTAAAAAAGATAAGCAGTCGCTGCAAATATAATCCGGTCTAAGAGTCCAGAGTCGAATCCCACAGAGAACTAAGGTTTCACCATAATTATTCAATATCGTTAAGAAGACAAGCTCGAATAAATTTCTAAGTTATAAAGATTAAGATTTTTATATCTAACTAATTAACTAATAAACTAAAGCAGTAAATTAACAACTAAAAATACTAAGGGTTGGGGACTAAATTTAGGAGGTCTAGAACTATGATTTCCCCAAATGTTGGAATCCTTCCCACTATGTTTCCTACAATTTCGCTTATATATTCTCTACTGATCGTGAGCACTTTAGGTGCCGTAATTCTCTCTCGAGCAACTATAACAATTTACTAGACATATTCTCTCGAACTACGCTAGCTGGCTTTATCTAACCGCTCATTATGACCACGTCAAGGCTTTGTTATTTCTAAACCTACCTTTAAACCCGCTGTATTGATTTCTCACATACGTTAGGAGTGACGTTCAACAACCACCTAAATATGTATCCTTTCTCAAGCAACACATAATAAATAGGCACAGTCAATCGATGGCCATTCAATCAACTGAAATAAGCACGTAGTTGAACAAATAGACAAATTCAAGGGTTAAATTATATAAAAATATAACAAGAATTTATCCTCCAAGAGGTTTCATCAAAACCCTAGATAACAAATTAGTTACTCATAATAGTATGTAAAAACTACAATACTAAAAGTCATAACCAATAATGAAAAGTAGGAAGAAGAAGGGAAAAAACTCGTGGTTGAATCTTCCTCCTTGCTTCTCGCGTATTCTTGCCTCCTTAGGTCGAATCCCCAGTCTCCTTAGCCTCTTTAGGTCTAAATTATGTCAAAAGTCCTTAAAATACCATTTTTCATGTATATACCAAGTAGGGTCGGGCCCAAACAATTATACCCTCTCCTCCGCAAAAAAGGACACTTTTCCAGGTAAGGACGTCCGCGGCTGCGGATTCAACCGCGGATTTGGCCGCGGATTTTGGCCAGTTTCTGCCTCACATCCGCGGCCAGTGCACGGCCGAGCATTTGTTGCGTATTTTTCACCCTGTTCTATTTGGAATGTGGAAAAACATAAGCCATAAAAGTTATAGCTCTTTGAATTAGCTTTCCAACCATATATTGTGGAGCTCAAATGAAGTTCTGAGCTAAAGGTTATGTGCATTTTACTAGACAGTGTGCAATATGCCTACTCGATTCTTCGTTCGTTCTTAACTATCATCCGTTGATCCCCGAACACGATCTCAGCTTAATTCCTTGGGCTTTTACTCAGACTTCAAAGCTCCAAATCACTTGAATTCATTCCATAACATCTACATAGCTCGGAATCACTCCTACAAGGCATAAAACTCACAATTAGTGCAAAATACTAGCGATTAAAGCTCAAACTCAATTAAAGTGCAGTAAATTGGAGTGTAATAAGCGACTAAAATATGTAATTATACCCTATCATCAAGTATCCTAACTAAACTCAACGAGGTAATAGAAGCAAGAACTATAAATGATACTCGTTGATCACCTGTATAGTTCATAAATTTAACAAGTATAGAGCAGATATATGAACAAATCAGGATATCACAGGTAAAAACCACCTTAGTGCTTACAATTCTTTGTTTTAAAGTGTTCTACTCAGTCAACAATCTAACATATAAAGAATATATGCAAGTAAATCAAGTAAACAGTCAAGGAAATTGCAAGTAAAGATGAAATGCAGTAACCAAATATCAGTCTATTATGGTGCGCAACCTGATCCATATAAAAATATGCCAATAAGGCCTGTTGTGGAGTGCAACCCGATTCAAATAACCATAACCAGCTCTCCCAGAGCTCACATCACCAGAAACCCGTCGGTTTCTCATAATCCGCATGTACTATCAAGAGAGAAACATGAGAGGGTGACCCTAGGGGGATGGATCCATATCCACACGTAAGCACGGTCAATTCAACGTGTTATCGGCTCGTCGTAGTCATAGGCTCAATATCATAATCCGCCAAGCATGGTCACAGGCTCAATATAACGGATACGCCCGGTGTGGTCACAAGCATAACAACACATCCGCCAAGCATGGTCACAAGCATAACAACACATCCGCCTGGCGTGGTCACGTGCATAACAATACACTCTGCCAGGAGTGGTCACATGCATAACAACACAATCCATCCGGCGTAGTCACATGCATAACAACACAATCCTCCCGGCATGGTCACTGGTATAACAATACAATCTATTCGGCGTGTTCATATGCATCAAGTCCAAATCATATCGCACAGAAGCAAATATACAAGAATATATGTATATGATGAATGAATATTAGATTTCATGTTCCTGGACTAGTATAATGACATGCTAAAGTACATGCATGTGCAAAGTGTACTATCATAGCTCAAATCGGCAATTTCATCACAGAAATATCAATTATCAAGTTCATTCAGGAAATTAGTCTCTATGCAATCCTCAAACATGGATTAAATAGTTCACAAAAAGGTTACAAGTATGAGATACATCATAGCTTAAAGCTTAACAGTCAATTCTTGGGATACTATAGCCTAAGCACTACCCAAATATAGATATATCTGCCGGTGCTCGCACATGGGCTCAAACCCCACACATGTACGCACCTATAACACGTAGCTATCACAAATAACTCAGGAAACAAGTGCCTCAACCAAGTTTAGATAAGATACTTACCTCACGCAAGTAAAATCAAATACCGTGAGAGCCAAACAATACTCTAGAAACACATCCTGCGCAAATCAACCTCCGAACGGCTCTAAACTAGCAAAAATTAACTCAAAAAATCAAATAATGCCTTAGGAAAATAAACCTAAACGATAAAGGTCGAATATTTAATCAAATACTCAAAGTCAACCAAAACGTCAAACCTAGGACCGTACCTCAGAACTCGATAAAACTTACAAATTCCTATAACCCATTCAATTATGAGTCCAACCATATTAATTTCACTCAAATCCGACTCTGAATCGATGTTCAAAACTCAAATATTCACTTTAGAAAAGTTTAGACAAACCCCCCCAATTTCTCTTTTAAAATCACTAATTAATTACCAAAAATCGAAGATGGAGTCACGAAATATAATTAAAATCGAGTAAAAAATACTTATCCCAGTCCATGTGGTTAAAATCGCCTCCAAAATCATCCAAATCTGAGCTCCATAGCTCAAAATATGATAAAATGAACAAACCCTCGAATTATTTAGAATCTGCCTAGCATTTCCGCATATGTGGTCACATTGTCGCATCTGCGACCACCGCTTCTATGGTACAAATCTCGCACCTGCGAGTCACCCCCACCGCCCAGGCATCCGACACGCTTGCGGATCTGCATCTACGAAAAGAAATTGTAGATGCGCAAAACTCAACTCCCAGTCGACTCGCTTCTGCGGCCACAGGTCCGCATCTGCGGACTCGCAGATGCGGCAATAACTTCTCATATGTGCTCCGAGCTGGCCTTCACCATACATCACATCTGTGCTCAAATGGCCGCACCTACGGCACCACATCTGCGGCCATCCCACCCGAGATGCAAAAACATCAGAGGCCTGAATCATCAACAATGCAATAAATCCAAAACATGGTCCGCAACTCATCCAAAACACAGTCGAGGCCCCCGGGACCCCATCCAAACGTGCCAACAAGTCTCAAAACATAACGCGGACCTATTCGAGGACTCAAATTACACATAACAATATCAAAACCACGAATTACATATCAAATCAAACTTAATGGACTTTTGAACTTTTAACTTTCAAAACTCGTGCCGAACCATATCAAATCAATCCGGAATGACTTACAATTTTTTCACACAATCTCCAAATAACATAACAAACATATTCCAACTCCAGGAATAACAATCCTAATCTGGTATCATCAAAGTCAACTCCCAGTCAAAACTATAAACTTTTCAAACATTCAAATTGCCAACTTTCGCCAAATAGTGTCGAAACCTTCTAGAAACATCCAAATGCAAATCCGAGAATACACCTAAGTCCAAAATCACTATCTGGGCCTAATGGAACTATCAAAACTCCAATTCAAGGTTGAATACACAAAAGTCAAACTTGGTCAACTCTTCCAACTTAAAGCTTCCTAGTTGAGAATCATTCTTCCAAATCAATCCCGAATCACCTGAAAACAAATATCGACGATTCACACAAGTCATAATATATCATATGAATCTAATCAAGACTTCAATTAGCTGAATGGAATACAAATTCTCAAAACGACCGTGTGGGTCATTACATTCTCCCTCACTTAAACATATGTTCGTCCTCGAATGTGCCAAGAG